AGGGCTTTTTGAGCTGCAGAGACCTAACGAGCAAAAGACGACTTCCGACGGAATCGCGGAGAAACAGGGCTCCTTGGGCACCGTCGAGGTTAACCTTTATTGGCTCTTCCCTTACGATGTGAAGCCTGCTTCTGCTGCCCAAGACGTCTCAGCCTCCGCCGTAGTGGCCGCAGAGACCAGTACTGGCTCCAAACGTAGCATACCCTCCTTAAAGAAAGCTGCCGTTATTGAGGCCACCGCTGCTACAGCTGCTGATACCCAGGCGACCGTTCAGTCAAGTGTAGATGTGAGTGCGCTTCTGTTGCGTTTTGTTATCTCATCATTTGAGCCACTGATGTTCTTTGAATAACCACTGACCACAACGAAGTTTTCTGTCAAATCAGCGTTTATCAGCGTCCATGATTGACAGAATATTATTGGGTCTAAGAGTACTTAGCTGGAAAAGTGAAGCTCTATAGCTATTTTTTGTTAAATTTTGCAGTAACTAAGCCTTAGAGGATGAGTTTTTGCTTTACAAAATTTTTCCCTTTCGTACACTTTTGACTAATTAGAAAGCTAAAACAAAGCCAAAGTAATAACGGAAATGAGGAATTCGTTTGGAGTTTCTTTCCTGTGTTTTTGAGGAGGTTGACAGTACCCAAGAGGGGCTATGTTATAACCTTGTGTGTTCCTGTGTCAACACCGGTTATGTCCTCCCCCCCCCCAGTTACGTGTTAGGAAGAGAAGGCAGAACAGTGTAGCAGATAGTACTTCACTGTCACTAGTTCTGCATGTACATACGCTCTGTCTTCTGAGTGTCCGGCAGCTTGGTCTTCTGTGTCCGTCAGCAGCTTGTGTTCTATCGCCGGTCTTACCTCGGTCACAGTCTCTCGTCTAGGGCAACAGAGTCCTGTGTCCTCGACTGGCCCACTAAACAGAGCCATAGACCTTCGTCCAGCCTACCAAGCGCTCCGCAGAAGGCTAACATCTGCTTAGAACATGCCAATAGGTCGGGCGGAGGAAGATACACAGGGCCGACAGCCGGCAGCTGCGACCGAAAAAATGTGGAAACGCTCAGGATGCACACAAACTACTAAACCCACCTCATGGAAGCACCCGCGACGGCGCGAACAACTCAAACAACCACAAAAATCGATTGGTTCCATCGATTGACACACGGGCATCAGGTGTCAGGCTAGCGTTTGGATACACTTACTGACAGTAGCAGGAGAAAGGTCACCACGCTCTGACCATGGAAGCGAGGAAGCTTTTGAAACGTCAACTAGAATACAACTTGGTCATGAAATGAAAATTTGTATTATTTGAAAGGCTAATTCGATCGGTAGTATTCTGTGTGATGACTTTGACTCGGACGCCCAGCAGGGGAATAGTGCAGCCTGTGATAAAAAGAAGGCTGATTAAAGGGGATCATCTGATGACTAGCGGCCTTATTTACGAGCATTTCAGGTAACGAGCAAGCCACTGGCGGAACAATTGTTTCGACTGATGAGCTTCCGCCCAGTTAAGAAGTCAGTGCACGTGCATTGAGTTTTGCTCCCAGAACGTGGATCTTCCCTCGCCTGCAGCCAATCAGTCAACTGATGCAATTTAATTGGCTACTTTTCGCAAGGCGAGCGTTTCAGAGGACTAACACGAATAAACTCGTCCCACTGTGAACCCAACAGCAGAACGGAAAGACTGGGTCCTGTAACCCATCGTTGAGCGTCCACCCACTCAAACCTGGCATTTTTTGTGGGCCCTTCAACAGCCTTTCAAATGTAGGGTATCGCAATCATTCATGGAAATTCGTATACTCCATGACTCCTTTGATTAACTACCTTTATTAGACCTATGAGTCTGCTATAGCCGTTTTTCATGCCCTTAGACCAGAGAGCCAACAACCCTTTCGTCTTTGCGTCTCCCAAGTACTAATAAAACCAGGACAGCGGACAAACTTGTCAAGGAAGACGTCCAGAAAGACAAGGTTTTGAGGGGGACGCAAGAAGTCATTTCAGCGCAATTGAATAGCAGTTCTCGAAAGTCCTCCCGTGCAAGCAGTGCAAAAAACCAACCCGACGACGTTGAAGTTTCCGTAAGACAAACTTTCGTTGATACAAGTTTGTTAACGGGGCATTTTGGACGATTATTCTCTGGTCGTTCATCATTGACCATATGTTTAATCTATAATGAACGATATGAATGTGCTTGTCGTACTATATGTCGCACAACTTTGCGATATAAATCATTCGTTTTTTAAGTCTGCCGCCCTAAAACCCATAGCGGCGTTGACTCCTTAAGGTGGTAACGCTCCATAGCTTATTATTGCCAATACAAATTCTCAACTCCAGTCTTGCAGCTGAAATTACTGCCACACTCAGTTTCGAACCTGCGTCTCTCCGGTCAGAGACGAATGCCCTAACCATTGAGCCACGAGTTCGCTTTCTTGTTAGTTTTAGTTAGTAACATTACAAT